CGAGAATTTGCATATCATATACAAGAACTATAGGCTAATTGGTTTTGTATACAAACACTGTTAGCTCAACTATTCGGTTTTTTGTATTTCTACTTTACCCCTATAAGATGTAGAGTATGTAGTATTATATGTGTCATTATGTCTGTGTCAGAGAACAAATCTTCTAGTATCGTACCCTGTAGCTAACATACACATACGGCTAATACATATATTAATGATAATAATTAATATAATGAATAAAAAGAAATATAAGCAAAACTTTTGTTATTTAGATTTGAAAAGAGAGGAAGGGGGTTTTCTGGGTAGAACTTCAAAAATCTGCAGAGGAATTCGAAGCATCCAATAATTTCACTGATGGATCAAACTACCAAAGCGAAAAAGGTAAGTCGCCGTATTTTATTTTTCCCAGTTAGGGTATTTTACAAACCTAAATTCTTCCGGTTTCATGTTTCTGCAGATTCGGCCAGTGGAGTTTCCGGATCTCCCAAACCGAATGTTTGTTGTTGGATATGAGCCTGTGGGGATTCAGGTAACAGTATATCACCCATCTGACGGGATTCGTGTTATTCTCAATGCTTTTGAAGAAGAGGAAGTTGTGTATCTACGAAACGTTTTTGTAATTATGGCGAGTTGCTCTAAGTTGACATAGTTGAGTCAACTCATTGAGTTAACTCTGTGAGTTGGTTTGAGTCGATTCAGAATTAAATAATTTGTTATCGGCTATTAAACTTGTTAGATGTTTAACGATAGTAAGTTAAGTAATTTGTTATCGGCTATAAGACTTGTTAGATGTTTAACATTGATGTTTGCAGAATGTTGAATGTGTTAAATTATAGTATAGATAACAATACATATTACCGGATGTTTGTTGTTGGACATGAGCCTGTGGGGATTCAGGTAACAGCATATCACCCATCTGACGGGATTCGCGTTATTCTCAATGCTTTTGAAGAAGAGGAAGTTGTGTATCTACGAACCGTTTTTGTAATTCCGGCGAATTGCTCTGAGTTGACATAGTTGAGTCAACTCATTGAGTTAACTCTGTGAGTTGGTTTGAGTCGATTCAGAAGTTAAGTAATTTTTTATCGGCTATTAAACTTGTTAGATGTTTAACGATAGTAAGTTAAGTAATTTGTTATCGGTTATAAGACTTGTTAGATGTTTAACATTGATGTTTGCAGAATGTTGAATGTGTTAAATTATAGTATAGATAACAATACATATTACCAGTAACTAAAATGTTATTCTGTAGTATATATATTAAACATCTAACATTGAGTTTAGAAGACTCATTCAAAATACAAAGATAACCATACTACAATTCTCTAGTGATTTTGATTAGAAAAAATGATGACCCACCGCCGAACAACATGAATCTCGCTAATAAAGCTAAGCATTGTGAACTCCACGACCCATATTTTCTCTTACGTGATGTAATCAAATAACTAATTTATTATGTTCAATGTGTTGAATCATTAAACGTCTAAGAATACATGTTACTGATAAATAATATGTTACCAATAATTTTATATGTTGATGGTCTAACAATACATGTTACTGATAAATAATATGTTAACCGTAATTTTATATATTGACGGTCTAAAATTGGATTTAGAAGACTATTGCTAAATTTAAAATGGTCATATTTATGAACTTATATCTTTGATAGGTTCTGAAAAGTAATTTTATTGTCCTCAATTAGACTAATTCATGGATAACAAAATAACATTTTTGCTAAGTAATGCACAATGTGTTCAGTCATTAAACATTTAACGATACATATTACCAGTAAATAAGTTGTTATCCGCTATTATATATGTTAGCGGTCTAAGAATTAATTAAGAATAAAAATTTGTTTACAAAGTAATATATAAATTGAACATATACGATCATTAAACATCTAAACATACATATTACCGCCAACTAAATTATTATCCGCCATTTTTTTATGTTAGCAGTATAAGACCAATTCTAAAATCAAACATATAAGAACATAGGTAGCGACCAATGAATTCACTGACTAAGTCTACTCTTAATGAGTCAACTCACTGAGTCAAAGCAAAACGAGTTTACGAAGAAACCAAATCTTCAAAATGATACGTATTCACCGGAAAATTGACAGAATTGGCCATCGTTGTTAAGAAGGATGGTGGAAGTAGAGGAACACAAAGTCATAATTATGGTGGAAGATGACACATCTTTGACGGAGGAAGACGCTGTTTCGGTGGAGGAAGATGCAACTTTTGTAGAGGAAGACGCGGTGGAGGAGGAGGTGGCGAACGAACTTATCGGAGTTTTTCATTCGCTAAATCAATCTGATTTTTATTTTGCTTATGCTATCTCCATTGATTCAGATGAAAGAGAAAAGAAGGAAAACAAAATAATTAGCTATATTACATATAAATTGTATTGTATGTATCGATTATAGATGTAGGTTGCAAGGCTAAGAAACAATGAAGGTTAGAAGCGTCTTTGTGTTAGCCTCGTTTGTATACTTTACCAATTCAATGTTATTTTTGTATATATGTCTAATTTGCTACTAACATGTCCAATGTTAACTCATATATATATCTTTTGTCATGATTCTATAATTTAAGAAATTATATTTAGTGATCGATATATTGTTTACGACGCATTTACTATTTACCAATCTCACAACTGGGTAGTGCAACATCCCAATATACGTTACCCGGAAAAAAGCATGCAATATATATAATTTTAGCGGAAGACTCAACCTGTCATATTGTCTAGAAATTTCAAAACCTTTGAGTAGTTCACTATAAAGAATAACCTTGTTATACATTGACTCATCTTTTCAAACAAAAACAACTGAAAAATGATGAAATTAGCAAGAATAATCAACAAAATATCTATAATTTTAAAACTAACTAATTACCCTAACTAGATTATAACTCGCGCGATGCGCAAGTCTTTTACAATTTGTTAATTTTGTGTCGAAAAGTTTAAATAATTTTGTAGTTTTATATTTATAATTGGTAACTCAACCCATTTTCTTTAGATGTAAAATAATATTTGATTTGAACTGAAATGAAATTAATTGTTTATCTTATTTATATGGTATGAAAATATAAAATGAAACTTAATCATTTCAATATCGATAGTTCCTATTAGAAAATAAATATGTTTGTTTGAAACTATGT